GCTTTTGTTTTTGCTTTGGTTTTGCTTTTTTCCTATTCTTATTCTATCAGCTTATTTTTATCGCAATTCTAGAATCAGTTAATTCTCTAAGCACTTCTGGCTCCTCTTACTGAACATAAGAGCATGAGTCATCAAGATCAGAAGGCATCTACCCTAGGTGTGGATGGGGTAGCTCTGTGCTTTCTACAATGTACAATTTCTAATGCATGAGGACATCAGATTCTTTCATTTAGTTATTTTCTTTCATCAGATGTTTTCAACTTTCTTTATTCAGATCATGTACAAATGTTTTTAGATTTATACCTATTTCTTTTTTTTGGTGATTTGTTTTCAATTTCAAGCTTCAATTATGCATTAATAGTACACAGGAAAGCAATTGAATTTTGTGTATTAACTTTGAATTCTAAAACTTTGCTATTATTGGTCATTAGTTTAACAAAGATTTGGGCTGATTTTTAGAAACAGCCATAGGTCACTGGAAAGCAGTTTTGTTTCTTCTCTTTCAGTATCATATTGCATCTGCTAGGACTTCCAGTATAATGCTGAATATAGATGGACCCTTTTATATTTCATGCTGTTTTCTGGATTCTGTTACTCCTTTTAAAACCTTGTCTTGAGTCATCTTGAGTTTTTGTTTTTTGCTGTTCTTTCATAGAATTTATCACTTAGAAATCTATCTGAATTTATTTTGAAGTTTGAGTATTCATTTCCATTGGCTTTACCCTTTGGTTCACTGTTCCTTTTTACTATAATCCTAAGTGGAATTTAGTCATAATTCTTTTCCATGGTATATTTTTAATGAAGTCATTCTGTGTGTTTAAGAATGACTAGCTTCTCTTGCCTCTGGATTCTAGATCCCTTTTCTGATACTTTCATAAAATGACACATCTCTCTCTCTCTCTCCCCTCTCCCACTTTTACTTGTCCCTAATTTCCCCCTCTGCCTCTATGGCCCTTATCTTATTCAATTTGAAATCACTCCTGGAAGTTTCTCCTTAGTCCTACGCTTTGTCTAAGAATGAAGCACCAGTTGGTTGGCTTTCAGAATTTCTAAATGACGCTTCATTCTGGCAACTCTAGAACTTCCTGCTCATCCCTTTACACTAACAGTTTTGTATCTTAGAGTCAGTGACTTCCTAGCCAGTTTGTTGATCTCATATTGATCTTCGTTTGCTTTTTAGCAAATATTTGGTAGGTCCAGGGCCTCCCATTCCCAGGGCTTCCAAAGTTCTGTTGCTTTCATTTTCTCCCACACAAATGCTATTATTAGTTTCTCCCCGCCTGCTAATGTTATAAAGTCATTGGTTTTTTTTAAACTTAGTTATTCTGTGACCACTAACTGGGCTAATTATTGTTTGGCTATTCTAGAGGTTCTGTTTGTTTTTGAGATAACATGATGTTATGGGGTACATATAAGCAAATTAACGTATCTTCTCAGTTACTCACTTTTGATGATTTTCTCATGGCAAGAACAATTAAAATGTGCTCATTTAGTATGAAGGCCACTTATGGAACAATTTCATGACTGACAGCCCTCATGGTATGCATTAGCACTCTAGAGTTGTTCACCCCACAAGTCTGCCACTTGTATCTCTGGCCTACCTACCCCAACTGTTGGTAGCCACTGTTTTGCTGGTTCTATGTATTTGGATTTTTTAAAAAATCTTCCACTGATACATAAAAGAACACAATATTTTTCGTTCTGTGTCTGGCTTACTTAGTACAGTGTCCTCCATGCTCATCCATGTTGTGGCAGAGAGCATTACTGTCACTGTTTTTTAGTGTTGAATAATACTCCATTCCATGCGTTCAGGGCGGGTCACCCTTCATTTGTTGACACTCAGGTTGTTTCCGCATCTTTGCAACTGTGAATAATGCTCTCTTAAACATGGGAGAGCAGACATCTGTACGAGATGCTGATCTCACTTTTTCTGTATGTATGTACAGATGAAGGTTGCTTGGTCACAATGGTTTTATTTTTAATTTCTTTGGTAACTTCCATACTGTTATCTACAATGGCCATTAACAAAATAGTTGCCAATACTTATAAATCAGATTTCACACATGAATTCAGATTTCTGGTTGCTCTTAAAAACCTACGAAAACCTGACGTCATTTAGTTCACATTCACATTTAGAAGCTTTCCTTTGGCTAAAGAGAAAGTACATTCATGTGGCACTTTCCTCCCAGAGTGTTTCTCTCATGTACTTATCCTGTAACCTCCAGACACATAAGCTTGTAATTCACAGACACCTTTTCGTTGGATTAAACTATAAACACATGTCATTGATTTTTAATTTTTTTTTTTTTTGGTACCAGGAATTGAACTCACAACCTTGTACTTGCCAGGCAGGTGCTGTGCTGCTGAGCTACATCCCCAGCTCCATTAAAAATTTTCTGCATGCTCCCCAGAATCCACATATTCAAAATCAAATTTACTACTTTTTCTAAAACCCGATTTTCTTCTAGTTTTCCCTAATGACATAGTTAATAGAGTTGTATTCCCACAGTTGTCCAAACCAGAAAAATCCTTAGCATTCCTTACAGCTCTTTGTCATGTGCAAAACCATGACACATTTAGGTCTTTGCTGCCACTGTGGTCAGAGTTTTAAACCTCTTTTCTGTTCTTGATATCTGGAAAACTCCTATTTACTTTCCAACATGGATCAAAATTACTAAGTACCTGAACTATATCATCTGCCTCAACAAGCAGTTAGTTGTTGCTATTTGCAGGATTTCAAGTACAATATATACTGGGTAGTATTTATTTACTTCTGGCTGCACTACACTAAGGATCTATTAAGGATAGATATTTAGTCATCTTTGTATCACCAGAAGTAAGACAAGCATGGAACTTATCAAATGTGTTAAATAAATGTGAATTTTACAGATTAATGAGCATTTTCGTACCATATGATTTCACCTTAAACATTTTGTATATTTCATTCAATAATGGCACAATATTTTGACGATACTATTTTGTTGGTGACTTTGCATTGGATCTAGACTCTTAAAATTTTGACTATATGACTATAAAATGGTTAAATCAAAAGTAATTTATTGACTCATTAAAAATGTAAGGATTTTTTGTAAATTAAAAATTATCTTAAATATCTAAGGATGCCAGGTATTATGTCTGAAAAAACTTTATAAAACAGATCCCACAAGAGTAACTGAACAGCTGTTGAGATCTGGTGCATTACTGTGCCAGCCTGAATTTAATGACCTACATGTGAAGGGCTACATATTCAATTACTAATCCTCTCTCTGCTACTCTACCCTGATATGGAGGCAGCTGAAACTGATACTCTACGAACAAATCAGAAAAGGATCCAGACCTCATTGCCAATGCTGTTAACAGAGATGAGATTTGAAGTGAATTAGTAAGAGGGGACTCACGTGTTTTATAGCTAAGTTTTCCAAATAAAATTTGCGTTTAAAGCAAGAGTGACTTCAGTTTTCAGAAAACTTTCAGTTCTTTTAGACTCTGAAATTATGAATTTTCTATTTACTGACTCCTCTAAACATGTTCAAATGTCGTCAAGTATCAACAAAAATTATTCAGGTGTAGTGGCACAGGCTTGTAATCCCAGCTGAGGCAGGAGGAACCCCAACCTGGGCCACATAGTGGGTTCGTCACTCTGAACTACATATCGAGACCCTGCCTCAAAAAGCAAAACCAAACCGAAACAAAAATTGAGGTCTTTCTACACTGAGATTTCTACTCAAAGATTCAAACCTCATTTTTATCTTCAAGTTCTACAATTACCTATTACAAATATGATCAAGAAAGAAACTAGATAGAAAACACACTCTACAGGATTGTGTTTTATCTCTCTTTTGGTTCACTTGGTCGATATAACAAAAGACTACATGAGGACGAGCGTCACAAACAATGAAACATCTGATGTTTTGCAAAATAGCACAGGAAAAACTGCTCAAGAATGAATATGATCTGTAAAGCTGTTTTACTTATGTCTCAAAAACTTAGGAATGCCTAATTTTAATTGTTATTTTTTGTTTGATTTAATTTTTTTACTTGAGTTACGTAAACTTACGGATACCGGTAATCTTTCTCTACATAAACCAGAAACAATGTAGGCAAGAAATGCTTTCCTCTGGTCTTGAACTGATTCAGAGCCTTCTCTGTGCTCCGTGTTTTTAAGAGCCAGAACATTTCCATTTCAGGGCTCTCCTCCACTCCCACCCGAGTAAATGAATGAATAAACTCCCACAGGCACACATTTACCTCCAGAAGGGGAAAAAAATCGACGCCACAACAGCCCAGACCCCAAAACCTAAGACGTCACTCAGTCCCCAAGTCCCAACCTCAGGCCCCGCCTCCTCTACATCCTCAACGGACAGGCGTCGGCGCAGAGCAATGACTTCAGACGCAGTAATCCAAGCCTCCAAGAGGAGCTTCCGCCTCTGCTTCTGGGAGTTGAAGTTTCCAAAGGAAGACTCGCAAGCAGAAGCAAGACCCCTCCATAAAGTGTGAGCTTGCTCCACAGTCATCCACTCCTCAGACCGGTAAATTTCCTGATACTTTGGCTGTCTTTCCCCTTGGTATTCTTGGGGGCAAAAAAGGGAACGTGCATTGCCGCTGTCCACTGACAATAAGGGCATCCGGGGAAGACAGCAGTACACCTGAGTAGAGCGCTGCAGCCATCTTTTCCAGGCGGGAGGTGACGTCATAGCGCGCGTTCCGGTCTTCTTGCCCTTCTCTGATTGGCTTACTGCGGTTAAATCCCGGCTCTGGGCAGCGTTCGTAGGGGAGCGGTGCAGAAGCGACGGCATGCATAGCTCTGGCCTCCTGCACTGTGGGGGTCTCCGGTTTGGGTTAAGAAAGTAATTTCTGAGCATTTCACGAGGGTAGGGGGCGAGTTGTGGCTGCCACTTGGCGGCCTCCTTCCCTAGGCTCAGGGCGCGGAGCAGGAGTGAGTTCAGGAAGATCAAAGAGATGCTGCCGTTTACGAAGGACCTACCTTTAAAACTCGGGAGCTCCTCAGAAACAGAGAAGGGATTCCGTCTTCTCTCCCCCACCCTCCCTCCTTTCCCCTCCCACCTCACCGTGCCCCCTGCCCCCTGCAGTTTTGCCGCGGTTAGGCCCCGTCCCGCAGCCGCCCTGCAGTGGTCGGTGGTCGGCGTCTTCTGGGAGGGGCGGCCTAGTGCTAAGTGACCAGGACGTGTATTGTGGGCCGCGTAGTGGAAATGTGGTTTTCTTTCCTGACGTTTTCTGGTTTAGGTTGTGACCTTGAGCTGTAGTGAGAGACAGAAATACTTGGAAGGAATGTCTCCCTCTCCCAAAGTGACTTTAGGATCATCATCCAGTTCGTGTGTAAGCACAGCAGATAACCTGAATCTGAGAATGGGCCCACTTCGTGTCTTTTTTGTTAGAGCAAAATTCCACACGAACATTTATAGTAACTAAAATACTTCCTTTAATATTGAACTTGGCTTAATGAATGAAAGTGTACTGTAACAAACATGCATATCAGAGAAAGACAAAATGCAGAAACAATTATGATCGAAACTGAAACAATTAGAAAGCATGCGTGTTAGTGAAGGGCAGTATTTTGCGTGACAGATAACCCATATAAATTAGTATGGCACGAGGTGTTCACCATGTAGACAGTTGGTGCACAGTAATTTATATTAAGATAGTATAATTTTTCCTGCATTCCACTTTGACTAGCTTATTTAAATCTTATTTAAAGCTTAAAAAATTCACAGTGCAGTTCATTTTCTTAATTGAAAATAGCTTAAATTAACGTTGACTAGTTCGTGGTTTTTCCCTATACTATTTGATAGGCTGTTAAAAACACTACCATGCGATGTAGGTCAAGTTAATTACTTAATTAGAGGTTTCGTATGTTGGAAAGGCAAGTGCTCCCCCTGGTGGGTATGAGATGTAAAATACTGCTTTACATTGCTTTTTACATTCTAACATAGAGCTAACCACTTGCAGTTTTTGAACAAAGTAGAGAACTAGGTAAAAATGTTGATACTAATAAAGAGAAATGTGCTCTTCTGAAATATTAGTTATTTCATGAAAAGAGCATTTCCCTCCTAATAATTTTAATTTTGCTTTTAATTTAATGGGCTGTATGTTTTCTCCATCCTGTATTTTGGATGCATTGCTAAGTTTTATTTAATGTGTATGGAAAGAAAGTAGTATAAAAGTGATTCTAGGCACCACAATATATATTTCACAAAGTTTTCTTTCCAATCTTTTAAAACTGTTTCTCCTGCTTCTGATTGACTTCTGTCTGTCTTTTTGATACAGGGTGTTACTATGCCATTCAGGCTGGCTTTGAGCTCATTTTGTCGCCCAGGCAATGATCCCAGCCTCCCAAGTGCTGAGATTACAGACGTGTGTGCCACCACGCCCAAGTGTTGCCCCCAAATTCTTAAATGCTAACCTTATTTATTTATTTATTGTACCCGGGATTGAATTCACGACCTCGAATTTGCCAAGCAGGCACTTGGGCCACTGAGCTAAACCCCTGGCCAATAGTAACCTTATGCTATAGCTTAAAAAATTAATTTAGGGACTTAGAACTGGAACTATTCTTACATTTCAGTGGTTTGGGTCTCAGAGCCCTCCCTCATCAGAGTTGAAGCAGCATAGCTATGTGAGGCTTGTTTAGGCTTTTGAGACAGGGTCTCACTGTGCAGTTCAGGCTGGCCTTGAACTCAACCATTTTCCTGCCTCTGTCTCCTGAATGCTGGTATTACAGGTATCTGCCGCCACACCTGGCTGAGGCTCTGTTTTTAAAATACGGATTTCATCCTGAAAGTTACTAGAGTTGGATCTGGGTTTGAATCCTAACTCTATTACTTCATTCTTGTATTTTTTGACCAAGTATTTTGAGTATGTGCTTTGAGCTAGATTTGTTTCTTAGGAATTATTTGGTAGCTTTGTAATGCTAGGGAAATTAACCTTACTCGAACTGAGCATGATGCTTTTCAAGATTTTCAAGTTTTTTTGAAAGAATAAGTAGATAGTGAATCCTTTTTAAGTCCAATAAAAATTAGTAAATGTTTCATTATTTTAAAAAATATTTTGTTCTGCAATATTTACTCGTTTATTTGTTTTGCCAACATATAATAAGCATCAAACAATACCAACCCCTGTGTTAGGGCTGACAGATTGTGCCACTGCCCTTTTAAAGAAAGAAAGAACCATATATAAAGCCGTGGATGTAGCTCAGTAACATAAGTGCCTGCCTGGCAAGCCCAAGGTTGTGAGTTCGATCCCTGGTACCAACAAAACAAAACTGTTGTTTAAATTGTATTTGGAAAATATGTTGTCCACTCATTACTTAAATTTTGTTTTTTTTTTTCTTTTATTAGTAGTTTCTGTATATAGATTTATCAGCCAGTTCTTTAGGAAGAATCAAAAAAATGTTTCTTAGATCGGTAAACATTTAATAGCATCATGCTTACTCTTTTGTGAGAATAGGTAACAAATATATTTTTAAGCTTTGGTATAGATAATCTATTGAAGAGAAAAGAAATTTCAGAATTTCTTAGCTTTCCCCAATCTGAAGGCAAGTTGAGTTCTCAGCAGGATTTAAAATATGTGTGGTTAGATTCCAATGCAGATATGTTTGAGATGACCCTAAGTGTTCCATAAAGCCGGACTGATGACAGAATCAGCTTTCATGGATCGTTTTTCAGCCATGACTAAAGTGGAGTATTCATGTATTTATAATCAAATATACTAGAGGGGAAAGCCAGATTTGTTGTCTGTATTATCCAGTCTGTAAATCACGTAACACCTTTAGTTAGAAGCTTATTGTTAGTGTACAACCAGATAATGAAATGTTCGTTCATTCCTCATTCTGCAGCATTAAAGTTACAGAAAAGTTGCTTTTCTACTTTTTTCTTGTTTTTGGCCCCCCACCCCCATCACTGGGTATTGAGGCCGGGACTGTGCATGTATTAGGCAAGTGCTGCAGGTCTGAGCTGCATCATCATTAACCTTGCTCTTTTGAGATAGTCTTGCTGAACTGCCCAGACTGGCTTCAGACTTGTAATCCTTCTGGCTCCACCTCAGATAGCTGGGGTACACGTTTATGTCAGCATGCCCAGCTTCCATCTCTTTTCTAAAATAATTTTTTTTTTGTAAAAAAAACCAGCATTTTCATTATGTAAAACAAAATGTAGAAAACCATGTGTAAGAATTAAACATGTTTATGTGTGTACACTTTAAATAATCCGTGTAATGGATTTGATTTTTTTTTTTTTGTCTTTTGGTATGAGCAGTTGAACTCATGACCTTGCGCTTGCCAGGCAGGTGCTTATGCTGCTGAGCTAAACCCTCGGCCCAGTGGATTTTTTAAAATAATTGGAGTAATGAATATATTCATTCAAAATATAACCATTTCTCCATCATTAATTTTGGAAATATGATTTTTACTGGCTTCTTAGTGTTCTTCATGCCTGTTACAGATAAACCATAATCTATTTGTTCTCCTTTTGCTGACATTTAACTAGTTTCTAACTTTCCATTGCTAAATGTAACATTACAATGTATGTACTCTGGTGCATTTTCCATGTACATTTCTGATTCTTCATGGGAATTTATTATAAGAAAATAAATTATTTGGTTAGTGTTTTAAGGTTTTAAAATTTTTGAAACAAAAAATTGTGCTGCCTACTGAAAAAATTGTGTGATGACCATCACTAGTGTATGAAAACATCCTATTTGCTCAGCCCTTTACCATCATTGCCTGTGAATGATATTTAATTGGTGTTAAATGATGTTAAAATGGTCTTTGGCAACAAATGACATTTTAATTAACATTGATATTTGTTAATGATGTGAACTATTAATCACATCTGTTGGTCATTTCTGTTTTCTTACATTATATGTTTGTAAATTATGTATTCACATCAAAAATTGCTTTTCAGTTTTTCAGTGGCCCCAAATAATGTCATCTGAAATGTCACCAGATTTTACTGAGACTTCTGGTGCCGAAAGAAATCAAGACTTAACCCAGGATCATCAAGACGAGAGACAGAAACTAAGAGTCGGTGAAGGGAATGAGCCAGTATCTAAACGACAAATGAAGAAGCTAATGAAGCAGAAACAATGGGAAGAACAGCGAGAGCTGCGCAAGTGTGTGTTTCATATATACAAATTCCCGGTCCTATTCAGAAATATGGAATGTAGCCCTGCTGTGGCATATAAAAGTAACTGGATTGTTTAAATTGAGGTTATCCATATTGTTAGCTAAGACTGTCAATTGGCTGTTAAATCTGTATATAGTTTGAATTACTACTTTTTTAAAGAAATGTAGAACTTACACTCAACATATTATATTTTCTCACCCATGACATTGTGAGTGGCAGCACAAGTTCTAAAATAATTAATTTAGAAAAGGGATGTAGTTAGTACATCCTAGATGTGGAATAAAAATAAACAGCTTAACATGGATTTTGCTAGAATGAGTTTTTATGAGAATATTTAAACTACAGCTATTGATGATTCCAAAATTTATGAGAAAAATAAACCACAGGTGATATAGATAGGAAAAAATGAATTTATAAACAACTATTTTTCTTTTTTTATGCCTTGTGAGTGCTGCTATAAAACCATGGGAGAAATGAATGATGAAAGAAAAATCCATCATAGTCAAATTTAGTATTACAAGGTCTTCCTAGGGACAGTGTAATGCCGACTGTAAGTGAAATTATTGAGTATAACTAAGATTTAGATAGAAAGCTTTAGATTATTCTTCAAAGTCATATGTTTTCTGTATAAAATTACCAGATTAACTAAAAAGAATTGATAACATTGTATTTGACCACTTTTGACCCACAGAAGTGACAAATTTCATAGGGTTCAATTTTTTAAAAAAGTATTTTGTTTTTTTTTTAGAAGAGTCTTAAGAATATCTAAATATAGAATTAACAAAAATTACATTGATTACTAATTTTAGACAGAAGCGAAAGGAAAAACGTAAGAGAAAGAAATTGGAGCGACAGTGTCAACTGGAGTCAAACTTGGATGGAAATGACAGGAAACGTGCTCGAAGAGAAGTTGTCCAAAGCACACTCCGCCTTATCATTGACTGTAGTTTCGATGAGTTGATGGTCTTAAAGGTATCATGAATCATTGTCAGAAAAATCCAGTGGGTAAATGAGGCTGAATCATTCCTGTTTTAACTTGTAATGCATATATTAAAGTACATTTCTGGTCAAATTTTCAAGATCTGCCTCTTAATAAATTGCTTTGATATATGCATTTATATGTATGTGTGTGTATGAATATATATATATATATAATATATATATATATATATATATATACTGAAGAGTATATATATATATATGCACACTACATGCGTTTCATAGTTAGTGATGAAAGTCAGTAACTGCATATAAATCATAAAGGTCTATGAGATTTTACCAATGCTATTGGTAAAGTGTCCAGTAACAGTAATAGTATGTTACTGAAAGAGTCTTTTTGTTGTCTCTCAAGTAGGTATTTTTCTGAGCGTGCATTTTAAATGGATACAGAATATGAAATAATGGGGCAGGTACAGAGTATTAACTAACAGTGATCTTGATAGTATGTAAGGAAATTGATCAGTATTAACAGTATAGTAGTTGAAAAGCAACATTCTTCCTGACTAGCCAGTGCTTTGCGTACCCTGTTTTTTTAATCTTATGGAATCACCACTTTATGTTTTAAATATCAATGCTCTTTTATAGGACATTAAGAAACTTCATAAGCAAATTCAGCGGTGTTATGCAGAAAACCGAAGAGCACTACATCCTGTGCAGGTATGGCTAAATAATTTTCATTCATGTCTTTTATGACAAAAGATGTAGATGGCTCCGTTTGGCTTTGCATAGATCATCTTGTTTAATGAATATTTGAACCATTTTGTTTCCTACAAAAAGAAAGGCACATATTTTGAACTTGTTTTCTCATGTGTTACTCTCAAGAACATTCGTTGCAGTCCTTGTCAGTCCTCCCCACAGTGCCCTCTCCACCACTGTGTTGTTGAACGTCTTCACTGCAGGATGCACACGGGTTCTCATGCACTTCTTGGCTCCCAGTTCCATCCAGTGCTGGGACATGGGACAGGGCAGGGGCAGTGCTGGGGCCCCCTTGCCTATTGTGTATTCTAGTTCCCATCACATGAGTTTTGTCTGCCTAAAGAACCTTAGTTTCTTTTGGGGTCAGTCATAATTTGAAAAGTATTTCGTAATCTTGGTTCAAGAGCATAGGCTCACTTATGATGTTTGTTTTTACCAAGTGACAGTTATTTTAGTTTTTTGTATTTTGTAATCTTGTATTACACTTCCATGATAGTTGTTAAATCTTTGTTTTTATCCTTAGACCTTTATAACCTTTGATTCAGATGTAAAATAAGTGTTGAGTTTAAAGTGAAAGAAAATTTTAATTTCTTTGGACTGGTAAGAAAGGTAACACTGGTGCCAAAAAAGGAAAGGGGCATTGAGTTGGCATAGGGGCAGTGCGTTTGCAGAGATCTGAGCATTCTGAAGAGCCGATCACAACTACTTCGAGAATTTTACTAAACCACCAATGCAGAGACTTGATCACAACTACTTCAAAGTGGGACTAAATGTAGAGGAATCCTGATGTTAGTGGATCAGGAGAGGCACCCGTGAAACTTCATTTCTACCTGAGATTTCTTGTATGCTCAAAGTATGTCACAAATCATTTTTTTCCAGGTCAGTGAGAACATATTGTGTCTCATTGATGATCAGATGAATGAACAAGGGAAATAAAACATTGGGCTTAAGTGATGATTTTGTCTTTTTTCCTGTGCTTACCCATCCCTTTCCAGTTTTACTTGACAAGCCATGGAGGTCAGTTGAAAAAGAACATGGATGACAATGACAAAGGATGGGTCAACTGGAAGGTAATGAAAACAGCTCAGCTCTCGCATAGTCCCAGGACCTGCATACTTAAAAAGGCCTGCATGGGTTCTAAATGAAGCAACTAAGCACAGTAATATCCAAATCCTCTATGTTGCTGTACATAAGTCTAAAGCTATATTTTGAAAAAGCTGAAGACTGAAAAAGCTATTAATTTGTACCTGCTCTCATTAAATCTGACTTGCTGTCTTGGCCTACCTTAAAACATACTTTCAAAAAGGAAAACTTTTAGAAGTTTTTCTCCCTAGTGAAATAGCTATGTGGTACATATAAGGTAAGAGTGAAGTTACTCTAAAATTTGAAAGGGTGTCTGGATTCTGTTTCTTCTCAATCTGTGCTAATACGTGGCCCATAGGCGAATGTAACTGTTGAACTCTTGAAACATGGTTGTCTTAGTTTTTATTCATCACTGAGACAAAATACCTGATGCCCAAAGTTGGGAAAGGAAAGGTTTGTTTCCTACAGTTTTTGGAAGTTTCAGTCCATACTCAGTTGGCTCCAAGGTAGGGTGGCATGGTGGGACTGCAGTTCATGGCCGCTGCAAACAGCAAGCAGGAACCAGCAAAAGAGAAAGACACGCCTTCTTCCTGCCATTATGTTATATGCTGGCTCCACCCCTAGGTGGGTGTAGCACTGACACCATCAATCCCAGCGCTAGAGAGTGAACCAATCACAAGTGCACAATGCAAACGCATGAGGCCTGGGGGCCACAGACATAAACCAAGACAGTGATGATAGTCTGAAAGGTAGATTGAGATGTGAAATACTGGATTTCAGAGGGGAGAGAGTTAGAGGGAGGGAGGAAGAGAGAGATATCTTTTATCTAACTTAAAACGTTTATTGTTAAGCAAGCAGTTGTGAGTTCGATCCCTGGTACCGATAAAAAAAAAGACCACACAAAAAAAAAAAAAACCCCCCCAAAAAAACCAAAAAACCCCAAAACATTTATTGTGTGTTTAAGTGATAGTATGAGCATATTGTGTTAATAAAATACATTATTAAGATTATTTTCACTGGTTTTCCCCCTCACATTTTAAATGTAGCTACTAGGGGATTTAAATTATAAATGTTGCTTGTAGTTTTTTTCTTGTCCTGACTGTTCTCAGTCACTTGCACAAATAAAAATAGATTGGTTCAAGACCAACCCCTGAGGGACTCATCTCACCAGGGAAGTAGCTGGTTCTTACTTCTCACACAGATCTTTTAATGGCTCTGTTATTTTATTAATAACTTCTAGTATGAACCACTCAAAGGTTTTTTAACTTTACAGTACAATGTATTCACCTGATGTTTTATGTTTATTCCTTTTTCTAAGAAATAGAGTGGTACTTTGGCTCATGAATTGAATTTGTTCCACAATTCTGGGGAAAATGGCCATGTTAAAAAGAAAAATGCAAGAAAGAGAAAGATGACTCCTGTCGTGTTTGTCAGCTAACACAGAGTTTGCAAATACAAAGTTTTGCCAAATGCTTCTGTCGGCTAACCAAATGGTTTGCAAGTAAAAGCATTCGTGAGTGGAGACACCCCCGTAGCAGTAAGAATAGGCATACTTTGAGTTATGTCTTGCTCTGTTTATGATTTGTGCCATCATTTTTCAGAGAAATAGGAGATTCTCTGGCATCTAGTTATGCCTGTTGAGGCCCATATTAAGTGTAGTGTTTAAATTTATACTATACTGTCTTAGAAAGTGGCTGTTGATGAGTAAGTAACTGATACATTTTAGATGTGTGCTGCTTTCTTGATTTCCTTAAAAGTTACTGGGGAAGAGTCACCTGAGACTGGTCACACTTCTGCTCGGTTGATGGCGTTTGCAAAATCCTGGATGCCAACTATTGTTCAGTCTTATGCCTTTGCCCTGAGGGTTTTGGTAGAGACCTTTTCAAAGGTGTATATGTGTAAAAACCGACACGTTTAAAGTTAAAACTATAAGCAGTTTCCTTTTCATGATTGAAACAGAAAGGAAGTAAAAAATTTTTTTGGTGAGAAGCCAATGAGAGTAACTAGAGAATAAAAATGCATTTGTTTTGTTGCAACACATAAAGTTGGAAATGTGCCTTGGGAAAGAATTGCTTAAGTTAAAGAGTTTGAATTTTATCTGTCCGGGAAAGGATACTGAAAGTAGTATTTTTAGAAGTTCACCATAATTGTATAGAAGTAAATTGGAAAGGTCTGAGGCCAGAGACGGGAATAAAACTAGGAGGCTGCTTCAGTAATCCAGGTGTAATACGGTAGGCATTAGAGGAGAGTATTCTAAACAAAGATACTATAATGATACTCTTTCAAACTTCCTTTGAGATGGTTTTGTATGAGTTTGTTTTCAGAAAAGAAGAGAATCCTTTTTGACTAACTTTCACAAAATCCTGTTTCAAACCCTTGTTCTTTAAAGGATATCCACATCAAACCAGAGCACTATAGTGAACTCATTAAAAAAGAAGACCTGGTCTATCTTACATCAGATTCTCCTAATGTCCTGCAGGAATTAGATGAGTCAAAGGCCTATGTGATTGGAGGACTGGTAGATCACAACCATCACAAGGTACTATTAAGTTTTCTTGTTTTGTTCATACATACTTAAAATTTGTATTTCAGCATTTCCTGATAACTTATTGAGCACCTACTATTTTAACCATGCCTTGAGCTAAGCACAGGTGTGTTAACTTCTTGCTCTTGGTACAAGTAAAGTGAATTCAGCATATTTTCCATCTTTATTTCACAGATAAGGGCTCTGAGGCCCCCCAAAATTAAGCTTACAATCTACAGTGGTAGGTGGTGAATCACACTGTTTGAAACAAAGTAGACTGCTCCTAAATCCATGTATTTAAGCACTCTGCTATACTGAGGGATGCTGCTGCTAGTGCACTGCTAAGCCGTTGATATTTATAACAGGTTTTTGTTTGTTTTGAGCCAGCGTCTTGTGTAGTTCAGGCCAGCCTAGAACCCTTAGTAATTCTCTTGCCTCTGTCTCCCAAGCACTAGGATTTCATGTGTGTGCCACCATATCTGGCTTGTACCAGTTTTTTGTTTTGTTTTGTTGGGTTAGTACTGGGAATCTATACCAGTTTTTAAATAAAAGATTTTCATGTGAAGTTTTTCTAGTCCTTTATAGAGTATTTGTAGTTTTCTCTCTTCCCATCCCATACATTTTTTCCAAATGAAGTTATGAAAATCCTTTCTGAGGGATCATCTTGTACTTCGTCAGGTGCTTTGCAGCCTGCTGAGTTCAGCTGAGCTAAGGAAAAAGCATGATTGTTCAGCAAAGCAGTAAGAAGCAATTCCTTACTTCCTGACCCCTGAGCAGGCAGAGTTACCTCGAGTGCTGCCGGTGTTTGCGTCTGCTTGTACGTGCGGAAGCTGTGAGTGTTGAGTGCACGAGAGGCAGACAGACTGAGAGACTGAGTTTGAAGGTGATAATCAGTTTAAATTTAAGTCTTCAGAAGTGGCTTCCAAATGGGATATGTGCAGAACTAGACTTTTTTTTATGTTGTGTGTTTTTCTTTGTTTTTTTTTTTTTGAGACGAGATCTCACTATGCAGTTCAGCCTGACCTTGAGCTCACTTTGTGGCCCAGGCTGGTCTTGAACTTGCAACAGTTCTCCCACCTCAGCCTCCGAGTGCTGGGATTACAGGCGTGAGCCACCACGCCCGGCTTGTGTGTGTTTCTGAACTAATACAATTTTGTTTACAAGAGCACCCCTCTGACTTATTATTTCCCTCCAGGTATGTAGGCTAGTAGTTGAGAAACATAGCTCTCTCTTTCCCTTGTGCTGTCTTGGCCGTGTCAGACCTAGTTAGACATAGACATCAAGATTTTAGTTTAGAGAATAGATGAAATTCTTATTCAACAGATTTTTAATTGGTGGAAAGAGAAAATAAAATTTATGACAGGTTTTTAAATCTTTTCACTAAATCTGTTTTTGTCATTTGTTCCTCTTACTGTTAAGTAATTGAAACTTTTATTTTTTTTTTTACTCATAGAATGAGTGATTGTGCATCTCGTGGCATTCAGTTTAGTTATTTATTTGGGGTTTGGAGGGAATGAACCTATGGCTTTTACACTGAGCTACTTCCACAGCACCCTTTAAAATTTTTAAACTATAATTTTTATTTTGAGATGAAGTCTCACTTAATTGCCAGGATGGAGCTAAAGCTTGCAGTCCTCCTGCTCAACCACACAGGGTTCTGAGGTTCTAGGTGTGCTGCAACACCACACCCAGCTAAGTTTGAGAATTTTAAACAGAAAAACGCAGTAAACAATTGTGAAAACATACTGTTTTCAAAAGGCAAGTGAACTAGATTTTTGTTACAGTTTTTCCACTGAGGACTTCTGTATGAATGTGAATAGACTTGATTTGGCTTCAATATTTGTGAATTGAAAAAGTTAAAACTAATGATCTGAACATTTTAATGGTTAAGAGAATGTTTCCAAATTAGCAGATACCTCACCCTTTTCAAATAATAGCCTCTGAACTAAAGACTTTTCCTGAAGTCATACTGTCATAGACTTCGTAATAATCCAATGTCCTGGTCTAAGCTCTAGCACCCTTGTTTTAGGGATTCACATATAAACAAGCATCAGATTACGGGATTGATCATGCCCAGCTACCCCTTGGAAATTTTGTGAAGATGAATAGTCGGAAAGTTCTGGCAGTTAATCACGGTAAGATGAAACAGATTTCTGAGAGATTTGGACAAATAGTACTACATCTTCCTGGAGAAACAAAATTTTAGCACTTGTAATTTATTCAAATAACGAAGATGATAATGCATGTTTTGGAAAATTTTGATAGTACACAAAAGTATGAAAATAAATAGATACAATCTCATTATTCAGGGATACTTATTACTGACTTTTTGATGTGTTTCTTTCAGTTCTTTTCCCATTCTTATATATGTATAATTGGACTCTTACTCTATTGCATACAATGTTTTTAAATAGTATTTTACCCCATTTATCATTATGTATTTCCATATCACTGAATCATTATTAATGGCTTATATAACTTTCATCATGTAAATACAGACATTCCTCATTTACTGACTGAGTTCCAGTACTGCAATGAGGTTAACTGAATTGGTTGTTAAATGAGTTGTATACAGTATGTATTACAATATAGAACAAAGAGGTGGTCAAAGGAAGCTCCAGCTTGATGACTTTGCTTTTATTTACATAACTTATATGCAGCACTGTACTATATGATAGGACCTAAAACTATAGTACTATACAGTACCATCAACAAAAATTATAATACTGTATAGACAAGGAGTACTATACAAAAAGACATTCAGGCTGTATAAACAAGATGCACAGAACTGGACAAAAACAAAAGATGGGTCAGAAGTCTGAGCAGCGCACCTCTGTCGTAGTTTAGTTATTAAAAAAGATAGGGTACTATATGACAAATATCTTATTCAATAACCATCTTCCTTTTGTTCAAAATTGTTTTTGCTGTCATGCACAATACTGTAATGAACTTACTTGGGCCTGATTCTTAGACTGGAGTCTTGCTTTCTCAAACTTTTTTAAGGAAAGGTTTTAGTTAATATGCAACTATCTAATTGAACCTTAAATATCTTTTTTATAGCAGGCTTTAGGGCATTATAGAAATTATTGATTCAATGGGTGAACAGCCTCTAAAACCTTTTATATGTAATAGAAATTATTTTTCCACAAAATAATCCAAAATTGCTCTTTGGCACTATGTTGAAGTGAGAGTACATTAGAGATATATTGATAATATTTATTCCTTAATGTTAAAACAAATGAAAACAGCAGATGAGAAGCCGTCTGGAGTGAGTGGTTCATTACAGGAAACCTAGAAGAAAATAAGATGAATATTAACCATGTGTCTTTAGCTATGTTAGTACATAGAAATAAAGAAACAAAGGGAATAAAAAGAGGAAATGTGCATTGATCACAGTTGAGGAGCAGCTGTGTAAGTGTCTGTGGCTTGAGAGCTGCCTCTGGAAGCTCGTGAGCCGTGGGGCAGGTGGACCCCGACAGGCAGCAGGAAGAGGTAAGAATGAAGTAGTCGTTATGCCAAACTCTGTACTTTAGAAGACAGAATGCAGTGTTGGGATGGACTTGGCCGAGGAATGTATGGAGTGTGTCTTTATTGCAGTATTTGAGATTATTCTGGAATACCTGCATACAAGAGACTGGCAAGAAGCATTTTTCACTATCTTGCCCCAGCGGAAAGGAGCTGTTCCCACAGACAAAGCCTGTGACAGTTCTTCCCAGCACCAGCAGGTGGCCAGAACTGAAGGTGGATCCGACAGTGAGGGTGACCACAGCAGGGATGAGCCGGATTCACTGCATCCAAAGGAGGCGCACGATGAAGAGAACCACTGAGTCCACAGTGAATCTGCCACGTGGATGCCACCTGGTTCCCTTTGAGCTTAGGGATGCATTAGGAGGAAGTGACAAACGAGGTGCTTCTCAGAATGTCACAGAACACAATGTTATTCTCTCTTATATATGTTGTGAATTTAAAACTCTCTTGGACTAAATAACAAAAACGCTTTATACTTTCAGGAATTTTTAAAGAAGATTTAAACGTGTATATCTTTTTTGTTAAGATTCGAAGAAGAGTTTTAGAAAATTTTACTTTGTTACCTTCATCAGGTAGAGTACCTTCATTTTCTGGAATATGTTTTCCAGAATGTGCCTTCTGATCTTCAGTTTTACTCTTTTATGTTCAGATCAACACCTTTTGATCTATGGCCTGTTTATTTGTGAGGGCAGATGTACTGTGAGTACGCTAAAATGTCTTATAGAGGAATTACCCTCTATCTGCAGATTTCATTTTCAACTTAGGTACTGCAAAGAAATACCATAACACTGGGCAGAAATGCAGTTTGCTGGACGCACCCCATCTCCTCTGGGTTGTGGAGCCTGTCCTGTGTCTCCTTTGTATTGTCTCTTGTGGAAATCATTGCACAAAATTGAGAATTTTTTAATACACTCTTAATTTCTATAATTGTAGTAAATTACTCCAGTTATACATACAAGTGAATGTTTGCTGGCTAGATTATTTTATAAGGCTGTTACTTTTGAAGGATCAATTTAATCTATACTGAATTTAAAATAAAATAGGTCTTTGTTATGCCTTCTATATTTTTTAAAAATAAAACATTTGTTGGTGAATATTGTGCAGCTGCTTCATCATATAGTAATAATCAAACTAATGTAAATGTTTCTGTTTCTGTAACAAATATATGAGAGTGGACACATTGTTGCATTTACATGTTTGTCCCTGTCATTATATGGTTATCGGTTATTAGGTAGTGAAACCTATCAGGACTTACTTGTTTTGTTTGTGTGAATGCTTGTGTCAGACACTAAGAACAATGTGAACCTCATGAAGTGCAGACATTCATCACTGAACATTTGCTTGGAATTGTTGGCAGGGGAGGATGTGTGGGAGGCCAGCAAAGGAGAATTGAGGCCCACTTGGCCTCTTCTGTGGGCAACAAGGAGAAACAGGCTGGGATAATGGCATGTTGTAGGTTCTCGGAAAAGTCAATTCAGCTGAGATTAAGTTGTTACCAGAGCATGTACTATTGGGTACTGCACCGCAGATAAATCTTGTATTACTCAACTGCTTGTATCTGTGTTTGAGTAAATAAAGGCAGGATGAGCCAGATGCTCGAGGCTCCTCTGCCTACTAGAGTCTCCCTGGCTGTCTATATGTTAAATTAACTGTGTCTGTTTGTCTTTCATCCTTATTTGTCCCTGGGTCAGTGGTGACAAACTAGCAGGACTAGGTCCCTGTAAATGGTGCCTGGGAGGGGAAAGACCAGAGCAGGCTGGTTCCCTATGAGTGACTCATGGTCAGGAATTTGGGACCAGTGTAGACCAGTACGGGCTAAAAGGAAGATGTTTTGGCTTCAAATTGCTAACTAGAGGATTATATTTAACATAAAGTGATTATTCTCAATCACAGGTGAAATAAAATTTCAGGAGCCTTCACTCAGGGCTCAAGGGAGATTTTCACAGGTGAGGTTCCAAGGTTAAAGAATGCACATGTGCAGGACATCAGCAGCAACAGCAGGCAGCATGGAGCAGAGCAGAGCAGAGCAGAGCACAGAGCCAGAGGCAGAGAGCTGCCTGCATCTTTATTGTGTAATTCTTAATACAAGTTGTTACCTCATGTTTACATTCTTACATAGTGCCGTCACCAGCGCATGTGTGTTTGCCTGTGCTAAGTCACAGGAATGGAATTACTTCCCGCTGTGCCTCTGCTGTACAGGCGAGGTCACTCGCTCAGGGGTTCTCACATGCCCTTGAGCTTTGAAGCAGTCTCAGTGGTTCCCCACAACTTGAGTTTTGTACAAATCAGTTTATTTTCTTTGAAAACCTGTGATATTTAAACATGAATTCTAGTACATATACATTATATTCAGCTTACACATTTAATAGAAAATTTATTGGGTTTAGTATTGATGTTTACTGACTCTTATTTTTTTTCCCTTTTTCTTGGTACCTGTTATAGTTAACCATTTTAGTAAGGTCTGTAAGGCAGGTAGACCTGCACTTCTCAAAGAAGAAACCTTGTAAGTTTTATTTTTCAAAGGTTCAGACTTCTGTAAGTACGATTTACTGTATGTAATACTGTCTTTTACTTAATCATTTTATGAATAATAGGGCACTGTATAATTCTGAAAGGTGAAGGAAACCATTACAAGTATCACATACTTTAATTTTCATTATTTACGAAAAGTACAAAAAGTATTAGTTTCCTAGGGTTGCCATGAGGAATCACTAAAAACTGGGTGGTTTAAAAATGAGAAATTTATTCTCAAAATAGTTTTGGAGACTGAAAGCCCAGAATCAGGTATTGCAGGGCCATGCCCCTCCAGATGCCCCCGAAGAGCCTTTCTTTGCCTGCTGGCTTTCAGTGTTTGTCACCGATGCCTGCTGTGCCTGGCTTGCAGGTCCAGCCACTCTCTGCTGTTACATGATCTAGCCTCTAGCCCTCTTCACCAGCATCCATTGTGGCCTCATTTTAGCCCGACTACATCTGTGAACCCCCTATTTCCAAATCAGGCACTTCCATTGGTTACCAGATGTCAGGACTTGATTTGTCTTTGGGGATACTGCTCCCCTCTAGTACCTCATACCTTGTCATGGGTTGGTGACCAGAAGGCAGTGACTGTAATCTCTTCTAAAAGAATTAATTTCTGAAGGATTTTTAAATTGGTTTAAAATAATATTTAAGCTTTCTCTTAATCACTTTATCCTTTTTTTCCCAACTGTTTTGGTTTATTTAGATGCATAATTAGCTAAAAACTAAATACTAAAATCATTTGTATTAGAACATAATAAAGATAAGGGATTAGCTAATCCTTAACATAAAAACATCACAAGGCTATTTATCTGCTGAAATAAAAGGATTTCCCCTCACTTAATTTTTTTTTTTTTAATAACATACACTCTTAGTGAAGCAATGTTGTTTATTTTGGTACTGGGGATGGTACAGAGCTATGTCGTCACCTCTGCCCCCTGCCCCGTTTATTTTGAGGCAGTGGCTCAGTAAACTTCCCTGGGGGGATTTGAACGTGTGATCCTCCTATCCAGCCTCTGCCAGTGCTAGGAATGTGGGTGTGTGCCACTGCACCCACCTAAGCCAGTTTATTCTTAAGGAAAGGAGCACTCTTTAGTCTGGTTCTCTAGAGACCCATCCTTGGACTTCTTGTAGCATTTGAAAAATACTGAAAATGGAAAAACTCATGTCTTTTAAGAGGTGCATGATCAATAACACAACCGTGTTGCTAGCGTAAGTGATATTTCAGTTTATAGACAGGGTCCTTGAGATGGCAAAAATTGTCTGTAGAATATTGATGATGTGTACAGATGGCAGATGAGAAGCTAGATAAGAAACAAAAGGGAAGGCTGGGTGTGGTGGTGCATGCCTGTAATCCCAGGACTCGGAGTCTGTGGCAGGAGGACTGCTGTGAGTTTGAGGCCAACTTGGGCTACAAAGTGAGTTCAAGGCCAGCCTGAACTGTGTAGTGAGACACTGTATCAAAAAGAAAATAAAGAGTGGATAAACATTAAGGATTATTAGAATCAAGGCAACGAGGGGCTGAGGCAGTTAACTTTGATTCCAGTTAGGATAGAGATATTTATCTGTTCAGGATCAGATACAAGCTTATAGTGCAAGCCAGAGAGACCAGGACTACACTGAATGGGGAAGAGGAGGAGAAGAAAGGAATAATGGAAGCCTGCTACTTGTTGATCCTAAGGCTTCAGGCAGGTTATTCCACACTTACAGTCTCAGTATCCTCATCTGTAAAGTAAGGTGCTCACCCATGTACTGTATCTTTTATTAATGCTCGTACAAAGTTATACTTGAAGATAAGTAGTAGCTAACTTGGTAATGCTTTTATATTGCCTTTCACTGATTTCTGGCTTCATTTCCTTTGTTTCCTTCTCTTTCTGTCAGCTTCCCCCTCTCTAAAAGTAGGCTCCAGATTCTCAGGAATCCAGGCTTGGGCAAATGTAGGCTCCATGCAGTACCAAATGAACATTAGATAATTTATAGATCTCTTAGTGGAGCATTCATAAAGCAATAAGCAATAAAAACAATACTAAGAAAATATAATAACTTCACAAGACTGTCGTCTATCATAAAATATAAAGGGTCTAAAATCACCAAGATTGGATTAGAAAAGTTGATATATACAGCATTTAAATAAAATTTGTAATGTTGAAGATTAAGGAAGTTCCAATGGTTGGCTTCTGATTTCCTCCATCTCATTGTATAAAGAATTGAAAAAAATCAGACCCCCAAATTCAAAGGCCCAACCCAAAAAATTGCCATTTGAGATGAATGCCCACTTCTCAGATGAAGAAAGACAAAAATGGCAAATAAATACATGAAAAAATTTCAATATCATTGGTCATTTGAAAGTTGTAAATTAGAACAACATTGAGAGTCTCCAGAAAAAATGGCTGTCATCAAGAAATTAACCAGTAACTTATTCCTGGTACAAAAAAAAGAGAAATTAACCAGTAACAAATGCTGAAGCCTGTAATCTCACCATTCAAGAGGCTGGGGCAGAAGATCATTACAAATTTGAGATCAGCTGGGGCTGCAAAGTAAGCTCAAGGCCAGTCTGAACTACATAGTGAGACCCTCTTAAAAAGACCAAAAAAAAAAAAAAAAAAAAAAAATTGAGGGGGCTGCAAGGAAAAAAGAACCCTTTTCCACTGTTAGTGGGAGTGCAGACTGGTGCAACAGCTGTGGAAATTAGTGTGGAGATTCCTCAAAAAAGGAGGATTACAGGTCTCATTTGACCCAGCTATTCCCCTTCTAGATCTCTTCCTGGAAGAATTAAAAACATTGTACCACAGTGATATATGTACACCCATATTTGCAGCAGCATAGGTTGTAGTAGCTAAATCTTGAGAATAACCCAAATACTCATCAACAGTGAATGGATAAAAATGATGTGATATTTATACAATGGAATGCTATTCAGCCATAGAGAATACACTTGAGACTTTTTTATTTTAAAGAGAATAAAAACACAACACAACAAAACAGAACAAAGCAGATTAGAGCAGAACAATGCAAGAGAGGAGCTAAAGATGGTGGATCAATAAGCAGCAGAATACAGAGCTTCCTGAGACAGACAACTCAGATGCCAGAATAAAACATCATGAAGAGGTCCTCTCATCCCAGGAAGAAACTAAAGGGAAAGGAGCTGGTCTAACATGCAGTCCCAGGGCTATCATTTGAACAGCTAAGATTATGTCTGAACTCTTGCCACTGCAACTTGCTCCAGCTGCCCGAGCTCCTGCCATGACTCGCTGCAGCCACGGTTGTACTAGAGTCAGAGGTCAGTGAGCCCTACGGAGAATGGAGTTGGCAAGAGACCTGTATTGACCTGTGGTAAGTGCTGGGAATAAGACCTTCCCACAGGAAAGAGGCAACCAACTGGATAACATGTTGGAATTGGACAGGATGGGAAGGAACAAGGAACAGCAGTGACTTCAGTCAGTTGTTCCCTTCCCAGACCAGATTGGTGGAATCTGCTTGACCTGGGTCATGCCAGGGGCATGGAAGTCATCCCAAGCCACTTCCATATATATGGCACACACTAACACAGTGAAGGCCGCTGTAGGTTGAGTGACGTGGAGGGGAAGGGCTAGCATATGCCACCCCTGTTTGCACCTCAGTGACCAACAGCAAACTGGAGAGGACAGAAATCCCTAGCCAGCGTACTTCAGATGAACCATAACCAACAAGGAAAGGGGCTGGACCTTTTCTATACACCTGTTTGGAAGAAAGCAAAAACATGACAAGAGAAATAAGAAAAAGTGCCCAGGCCCCAGCTCTGAGAACATTGATCCAGGAGAGGTAAATACAAAAAAGATTGAGGACAACAAACATGTAATATCAGACATAGCATCAGTGGACATTAAGAGATATTTTTGGGCCCTCATAGGTGAGCTCAAAAGTGAATTTTTTTATCAGTACTGGGATTGAACTCACAACTGCCTGCTTGCAAGGCAGGTGCTTATGCCGCTGAGCTAAATCCCCAGCCCCAAAAATGAAATATTTAATCAAGTAAAGCAATATATAAGTAGATTAATAAAAGAAATGCTAAGCACCCTTCAAGACACAGAAGAATGGAGGAACACAAAAAAAAAGGAGAGAAACATTG